TATTTGCAATAGTCAATCACTGTACTGGGTGACCTTGTTACTTGGTTGTATTGTACCAAGAAGGCTGCAACCCTGTATCAATAACATTAGATGACCATAATAATAGCTTGTAATTGATTGTTATAATTTAGTTTGAACAAAAGAATGTGTTAAAATAGAATTTTTTTGCTGCTTGATTGAATTTGAAGATTCATTAGTTATTTCTTCTTCATATTCAGATGAAGTTTCTATTTAATTAAATAAATTAAATAAAAATATACTATAGTGATAAATATAAATTTTATAATAATAAACTTATAAATACTTTTATCTTTTTGAGAATCTTTTGGAACTGATCATAAAAGAATTTCAGCCACTTCCTCATCAGTATACTTGGCTTTAAAGGCTTTACAGTTCGCAAGATAAGTATAGTATAATATAGTCTTATTAGTTGTAAAACATCCTTGTGTAACTTGTGCAATTGCTAATCCTCCAACTCAATCGATGCAACATTTACATACAGCTTTTGCATTTGATTTATTTGTTAGACTTTTTATTAAAGCAAAAAAGTTACAAAAATTATGTGTTTATTTTTTTTTTGTAATAATTTTGTTGAATTTTTTTTATTCATTATTATAATAAGGCTATCAAGTATGTATAACTTTATAAAATTTTAATTTATCTAATTGATCAAGATAATTCACTTTATATAAGTAATTTCATCATAAAATGATTAAACTATATTAGTATTGTAATTGCAAACTAATTGTATAAGCCTTTTTTTTCATATTAATTTTTAATACTATTACTATTGTTAATTTGATAGAATGAATTAATAATAATTATTGGTTACTATATATAATATTAGTTTTTGTTATTTTAGAATTAAAGAATTCTCTCATAGTAGCTAAATATTATAGAAAGGTACTGGTAATTATTATGCTAATAAATTTTGCATCTTAGTATAAACAATGTTGCTAGCTATTTTGCTAAAAAATAGCTTTGTTTTAGATGCTACTAAAATTTAATAGCTCTGGTATATTATTATAATAACATTAACCTTTTAACATTAATTGTTATTTAAGTATTAATATTTTATTTAACAGATGCTATTTCTTTCTAAAATCTTTATACATACTGTCAAGAACAAGATGTAACATGACTGTAACTAAAAAGTCATGATTAATGCATGCAATTAAAATTAAATAAAACATGCAAACATGCATGATTACCTTTTATTGCATATAACCAAATTAAGAGCAAAACACATCCAAAAAAGTGCAGGTTTCATAGGCTCCTTTTAGTGATTTAAACTTTTTTTTAGCAGTGCTGTATTATAATATACTGTATATATAAAACTTCAAATTTTTTTACTAAACCAAATAAATCTATATTAAGATAAAGATAGTATATATTGAAAGAGTCTGAATCAGTAAAAGGGACCATAATGAGGTTAAAAAAACAAATTGAAAGGATTTGTTATATTAAAAAAAAAGTTTTGGTTAGTAAATAGAAAAGGTGAAAAGGATCCAAAAATAGATAAATAAAAGAAAAACTTATCTGTTGTATATCTAAGAATAATAGAAGAAAGAAAATGATAAAAAACATTAGGTAAACCCTAAAAATAAAATAGCTAATAAAGCAGTGCCAGCTTTTTAATAAAAGAAATCATCTGTTGTAATCCACAAGTTAGTTGTATCAAAGTTCTTTGGTGTAGTAAGAAAAATAAACAGTAGTGCTTAATACATCTTAATAAAAACCAAATTTAAAAAAGCCTTAGATACTTGCTTAAATCTTCTAACATATCTCTAAAAGATTCTATCAAACTTCTTACTTTCATTTCAATACATATACAGTCAAACCTCCATATATGCACTCTCTACAAATGCACACCCTCTATAAATAAACTCTTAAATCCAGTCCCAAGATTGTACTATAATGTTAAATGCACATCCTCTATATTCTACATATGCATCAAATTTTTTAATTTAATATATATAAATAACCTCTATATATGCACATCATGTGATGCTCATCCAATGAGAATAAATGATTTATGTGTATTGATGATTGGTCAACAATTCAAAAAACCAGGCTAAATGATATATAATCACACTCAGAATCACATGCTCTCCACATACAAACTATCATGCCTCAGAAATGTTATATAATGAATCAATGCACTAATAACGCAATACGAGCCTTTACTTCGACACAGTACAGGAACAAGCCACCTAAACATCTGTCATAAATACCAAAACTCCAGCTCCATCAAACTCTATTCTGCAAATTTCTAAAATTTTTTGTCCTACCCAATCTCTTCACAAACACAAGGCATGTGAGAAATGAGCTCCTGATTCTGCCATTCTAATAGCCAGCTTGCTGCAGCAGGCAAAAAACCATCAGCTAAATAATTAAGCAAATAGTGTTCATTTAATCACTACCTGGGCTGTTATTGTGATTCCTAGCACAATTATTATTGCTAACCCTTCGGAAAATTAATGTTTTAGTTCCTATTATTACTCTCTATACTGTTTATTTTGCTTATATAATTATCAAATATAATAAAAAATTAATCCTGGCTCTTACTTTAGCCAGTGTAACCCCATATGCCTCACGAGTATGCCAATGTTTTTTGTAAATATGAACACATAATATGCAAAACTTATAATTTTTGATCCTTTTAGGCCTACTTTTTAATTATTGTCCGAAGCATAGCAAAGAACACTTTGTTTTTACACCTGACTTTGATTAACACTGTTATGTGCATTCTGTCTGTTCACTTCTGCATCTCTGATTGTTTGTTAATCATGAGTTTATGATTCAATAGATATAGTTTTAAACAAATTTTTATTTAGTTTCGGACATACAATGCTATGCATTTTCTAGTTTTACAAGCAAATGAATGTTTTTTAATACAAATGATGTATTTAAAATATTTATCACTCGAATAGTGTTTTATTAAAAAAAGATTGCACTGGTAAAAAATAAAAAATTCAATGTGTTGAATAGCACTATTCGAATGCTATTCAACATGTTGAATTTTTTATTTTCTACCAGTGCAATTTTTTTTTAAAAAAAATTGTCATGTGCATTTTTTTTTTTTAAAAAAAAAAAAATTGTTGTGTGCATTTTTATTTATTTAATTTAATTTTTTTTTTAAAAAAAAAAAATAAAAGAAACTGTTAATGTTGCTCAACTAATCCAACAGGTGAAGGATTATATCTATAACATTGACTATTAACTGATTAATATTGTAAAATAATTTTTTATGAACCACATACTGGGTGAGGATTAGTTATGCAACATTGACGGTTTTTTCTGTTAAAAAAAAAAAAAAAAGCTTGTTGCATGAATATCAGTTTAAAAAATATGCTTATTGTACAAAAAAGTCTATTAACAAACATATTTTTTTTAAGTAAAATAAATATACTATTATAAAAAAAAAAAAACAATTACATATGTATGTTCTCATATGCCTATCATAAATATACATATGCATGGTTTTATTTACTAGTTCCTTGGTAGTGATAACCTTGTAAGTTAATTATACATCAAATTAAAGGTAGAATGTGATTACCAAGCCCCTGGTTTTTTTTTGTACCAGGCATTTGTTTGCATTACATTAAGAATTGGCAAAATTGCTTTTCTAATTAAAGTTTAATTTTTAGCTTTCAATATAGCTTTTTCATAATGTCGCAAAGAACCTTTCTTACAGATGCTCAAAAATATGAGCTTTGTCTATATGCTTATGATAACAAGGAGACTCAGTCAGAATATGTAAAATGGATTAATGATAAATGGTGAGTTAAAATTAGTGAATCTACTATTACTTGAGTTCTTCAGTCTAAAGAGAAACAGCTTTCTAATGAAGTAATAAATCCAGAAGCCAAACGTCACAAACCTGTTACTTTTCCAGAACTTAAGCTTGCGCTCAAAGAATTTATATTAATTTACCAAAATCGGACCATTTTGAGTGATGCCTTGATTATTGAAAAGGCTAAATTGCTAGCAGGTGAATTAAAGATTCCTGAAGGTAGGTTACAATTTTTCCAAGGATGGCTTCAAAAATTTAAGGAAAGAAATAGAATTCGTCAAAGAATACTTCATAGTGAAGAAGTATCCACTGATCAAAATGCTATCATTGAGTCTTTGCCATTACTATGAGATATATGTGAAAGATATTCTCTTAACAGAATATATAACATGGATGAAACTGGTCTATTTTACTAGTATTCTTTTTTGTTATAAATTTTTTTTTTTTTTTAAAAAAAAAAATCTAATTATTATATATTATAGGTTGGAGCCAGATTGAACTTTAGCATTATGACGGCTTGCAGAGCATAAAAAGAATAAGGAGCATATTTCTATAGCATTATGTTCAAATGTTGATAGATCTCATAAAGTGAACCCTCTTATTATTGACAAGTATACCAGCCCCTGGTGCTTTAAAAACATGAAAATTAAAATTTTACCTATGACATATCGAAGTAATGCCAAGGCATGGATGCTCTTGGTTCTTTTTCAAGAGTGGCTTCTTGATTTTAATCTTCAAGTTTTGTGAAAGCATAATGGCCAACGCATCCTTTTATTACTTGATAATTGTAGCAGCCATGATATTGCTAATTTAGCTCTTAAATATATAGATGTTCATTTTCTTCCTCCATATACTACTTCAAAAATCCAACCTATAGATGCAAAAATAATCATAACTTTTATAAAGGCTTATCGATGCTATCATCTTCGTTTAGTTATTTTAATCTATAATTATTAGTAATTTTGTTATTTGAGTGATGCAAAGCTAAAACCTGCAAATCTTATAAGATTTGCAGGTTTTAGCTGTATGACGCTCATTTATACTTAATTCCTATTTTATTTTCTATTTTTTATATTAATTTAGATAGTTATTAGATCAAGTTGAAGCAGGACATTTGATTCAAGACTTAAAGATAAATATTCTTCAAGCAATTCAATTTCAATTAGAGGGTGAGAAGAAGTCTCTGCTGAAACTATTCACAATTGCTGGTGTCATACAAAAATTCTTCTGGTTGATGCTGGTATTGAAATCCTGAATTTCTTCAATAACATTTGTAGAACCAACGATTCAGAGTTAGATAAGCTTATTAATGTGCTTAGTTCACATTACCTTTCTAATGCAATGAAGACTGATGAATTCCTTATACTCAATAATAAGAATATCATTTATAAAGTCCCTCCAGATGACCAAATTATCAAGGAGCTTGCTTATACAGTTAAAAAGGATGATAGTGTTAAATCTGCTAATAAAAACATTACTGAAATAGATAATAAAGATGATAGCATTGAGACTATAACTGTTAGTGGTAGTTTAGTATTAAATAATTTAAAAAATATTCATATGTTTTTGCTTCAACAAGAGGGTTCAGGCAAGCAATTTAAATTAGTCAATTCTTTGGAAAAATTTGTTAAAAGCAAAATCATAAGTTCAGCTCAACAGACTCATATAAATAAATATTTTAAATGAAGAGTTATGTAGCATTCCAATGAAGTATAATCATCAGTGATAATAATAATAAAGCACAATTAAAGCATACCTATTAATAAATAATTAATAAGGTTAGATTTCTTTTTACAAAAGTGGAGATAGCTTTCTGTGAATTATATAATAGGCAAACAAAGTATTATTAATATAACCATAACTTAAATATCATAACAATATACAATACTGCAATTTACTATTAAAATAAAGCAGACTACGTTCAGGTTAATTCTAATAAATTATAACTTCAAAGCTTAATACAGTACAGTATCTTGGGTTTTTTTTAGCAGTCCTTAAATAATAAACTATAAGTTTATATAGTATCTACAACTTATATATATAAAGCAATTGTTAATAGCTAAAGGCTATTATAATTCTTTGGAATAATCCATCTGTGTTATTAGTTGCAATACAAAATTTGTTAGTTCTCAAAACCCAGTAGGATCAAATTTGTAAACTTTTTTTTTTTGAAAAAAAACTAATATTTATTATAAAGGCCCAACAAATACTTTTTTTATATATTAGATTTTTTTAATAAGAACATGAGTTAGGTTAAGTATAAATTGAATATGAATATGTTATTTAATCGATAATAATGTGATTTAGTAAAAGGTAGTAAACTTTAAAATTATAATACTGTATTATTGGCAAACTTATATGACCATGAAAATATTTTTTTTTACAATGTAATCATGTTCATTCAAATTAAAACTCAACTGAATAACTACCTATGGATCAGGATCATAAATTTAGAAATTGCCAGATAACATCGATATTAGAACATGCAATAATACTAATCATTGTATGACCAATATCTTATATTTATCTGACATTTCATATGATCATATAAAATATAAAATTACGCAATCAGTTTTGCAAAAAGGCATCCTTAAACTATACCCAGGATATTGGCTCTTAACCTATAATCCCTAAATAAATAAACTAAATTTAAAATAGCTATTACATACTAACTAAATTGAGAAACATAATAAAAATCTATACCTCAGATATAGGCTAGAACTGTTCTTTGCAAAATATCACGAAAAAAACTTTACATGATCATATTAACTATCAGATAATATTAATATTGGGCATATGTACAACAAATGACAGGAAAATTTTTTCATCAGAGTTAATCAATTTCACTCATGTGCTGCTACGCAACACATGAAGTGACATTAACTCTGACGAAAAAAATTTTCCTGTTATTTTTTGTCATCTGCCCAATATCTTATATATATAAGACATTCAGATCTAATGATGATTTGGTTCATTATGTGATATAATTTGTGTAATCTTCTTTAAATGCACATTCTCTATAAATGCACGTTTATAGCTAGTTCCAAGGAGGTGCATATATGGAGGTTTGACTATATTTATAATTATTAATCGCTATATCAAATGACCTTATTATTTAGTTGCCCTATCGAAAAAGTATACGGAATTTATTTAAAAATTATACGGAACTTTTTTTTTATTAACGTTTTAAAATTAATTATTATATTAATTTTTGTATTTATAAAATATAATTAATA